GGAAGTGTGAAGGATCTTCTCTTCTTCGGCTGTCGTAACGCTGAATCAGACTACTTCTTCAAGGACGAGTGGGCGCAGCTTCAATCCTCTGGTGTGCCCCTAGAAGTTTTCGCGGCGTTCTCCCGAGACCAGGTCAGCGCCCAGCTCTACCCTGTTCAAGTCTACGCTAACGATATGACAGCGTCAAAAGGTTTACGTCCAAGATCTCATTCGGCAGCAATCCACCCTCGTTTTCTCTCACCTCTTCCATAAATCCGGCATCCTATACATTTGCGGGTCATCGGGCAAGATGCCTCAGGCAGTGCGCGAAGCGCTCATCGAAGCTTTTCAAGAACATGGGAATATGGACAGGGAAGGCGCAGAGAATTATCTCGTGAGTATGGAAAAGAGTGGTAGATATCGCCAAGAAACGTGGTAGACATGTGAATGACTTTGTACATATATTTTCGATCTCCTGCTCTCCACTTAGCCTATCACTCAATCTATGGCCCGTATCTCGACTATGCCAAGTGTCGATCTTGTTTCAATGAAACGCTAATCGCACTGGCGCGATTGGACGCATCGCCAGTTGACTTATGATTGACGATGCAGCAGATTACATCTCCAGGCATGGTAGGCTTATGCGGGGCGAACGCTTACGGTGCCACAAGCATTCTGCGTGGCGAGATTACGACACATCATTCGTACTATATGCCGGTGAGACATCGATATTATGGGCATTGCGGTCACCGATTAGATTTAAAACAGGTCGACCTTGGCGAAAGACAGATGCGAAGGTTTGACGGGGATGTCGAAGAGGTTGGGCAAGCTATCTAGATGAATACATGTACTGAACTGACGGTTCCGGCTCTATCACCTCTCTACTCATAGATATAGCAAAAAGGCCCAGCAAGCGTACTAGAAGCCTCTCTTATCGTCATATTCGGAAACCCCAAATAACCGCCAAATGTCATAACATCATCCAACGTCGCATTCCTCGTCGGCGGGGTATTCAGAAACGTAAGCGTTCCAGCAATAGTAAACCGCCTATCTTCCAAATTCTGGTTCTGCCAGATCCACCAAGTTCGGTCAATCTGGGCGTGATGATGCCAGAAGTATGGGTCGGAAGGAGAGTTGTAGAAGTCTGAGCCGGCGTCACCAGCGATTGTCTGATGACCACCAAGGTGAACGCGAAGTTTTCCAGGAGAAGGGTTTTGGAGCGTGTCTTGGAAAGCGGAGATGTTGGCGCTGGCTGTGATTAGTTCAGCAACATCCGCGTCGGTTGTTTCTGAGGATGAGCGTGTATTGATGTCGCGCCTGATGCATCTGGGGTTGTAGCCTAGACCATTCGGAGATGGGTTTGGCCGTACGGTGGTGTCGAGAGAGGATACTGGTCCGATGTGCATCTTCCAGCTAGATTGTCTTCAGTATTGCCGACATGATTAAGGCATCTGATGAACGACGACCTACTCTTTGAAGGGCCCAGAGGCAACACAACCACCTCCATTGCCGGGTGGAACTTCCACGAAGCATCGGTTTGGGTTAGGTACACAGCTGGCATTACGACCGGGAACATATACCCCATCTCCAGAGATACTCGTGTCGCTTCCATCGAGGAGAGGGGATGCGGCGGGATTATCAGCCCACAACGCCCAGTTGTAATATGGAAGATAGCCATTGTATCCGCACTCGTTACGCAGAGTCTGCTCCCATGCCCACATAAAGTAGCGGTGCCACGACAGAAAGTTTCCCTTGGCAATGTCAGTTATTCTGTTAAGGCGTATTAGGGTTTGATGAGGAATACGTTTCCGTGCGTGCACTGTGTTAGCAGGATGTGGGTGACTACAAAGTCATCGTAACGACTTATCGCTCCAGAGGCAACAGCAGCTGGAGTTCTCGCCTTCATCTTTCCCATACAGTGAACAGCGTCAATGTAGTTCAGCTTCTCCGAACGCTTCAGCTTAGACCTGTGGGGTGTGAGGGGCATCCTCCTTGAGGTTTGCGTGAACATACCATTCACGGCGCCGAGCGACTGTACTTGAGGTACAGTTCCTGGTGTAGCTATCGGGGTGTTTGGCCACATCAAGCCATAGTCGATCAAGCCCGTGTTTGGCTAATGCATCGGTCTGAGGAGCTTGTGCTACGGTGCTTCCAACCGAGAGCAGAAATGCAAGTATAAACCTCATGGCGAGGTAAAAGCTTGTTGGAGATAAAGTCAGTATCTCGTAGACAGCAATTGCGAGATTTCATGACTCTTTATACTTAGGACGCGGTTACACCAAAGCATGCGAGCCCAGCATAAGTGCACTTGTTCATGCAGGCGTCCGGTCGCGCATAGTAAGTGGAGAACACGCTTGCAGCCACAGGCTTCCATCCTTAATATCGCATATCTACGTTCTATCAGGGCTGTTTGAACCAGCATTTGAAAAGTAGTTTGCATGCCAGAGACTTCTAGCTTGCGTATGCATGCATCTTATGGCGGCGAAGGACCACACGTTATAGGAAGGTGTGGGGACTGTACAACAAGTGCGTATAGGCGAGGATGATAGGAAATCCGCTGTACTTGAGAGCGAACATTTCGTGAGGTTCTGCCCGTCTCGAGGATCCTGCCGATGAAAGAGTCTGTATGGGCGGGTGGTAGATGCCGTTCATCCAAAGATGCGGGCAAGCAAGTTGCATTGGGCTCAGGCATTGAGAGCTTACTGTAAGCTGTGCCTCGATGCTGCAGAGGTAATAGTTTGCCCGGCATAGGCGTATGTACGCTCTGCTTGGCACTGAGATCGATGCGTAAAGTCGCCATGTGGCGCGTGTCCGGCAAATGAAGGGTCCCGAGGTCGCCCCGGTGATGTCGAAGCGGGCCACCATCTACGTGTGCGTGTGTGTTTCTAATGCTTTTGAAGAGCTCGCCAGGAGGCGGCTAGCTGCTTACTAGTGTGTTGTGAAGGAGCATTGAAGCTTTAAATGCCTAGGTAGCGTGACCTCGGGACCCCTGCAGATCGAGCCGATGTCCGCGGAACCGGAGGGGAGGCGGCTCGTGCGTGCCATCTCAGCGCCACCATCCCGCTGTCATCTACCTAGGTACCTCCCATCGTCTTAGCAGCGATTTCGCATGCACACTACGCTGGTGGTAACATGCAAACCTGTCTAGACCTTCGCCCAACGGATCTGCCATACATATCGCAACGATGGACCTTCCTGCACTAGCACCGCGCCTGAATTTGGGCGCACCTGCACTTCCCGACGAATTGATCCTTCTTATCCTAGATGAGCTGGATGCAGATGATTACTTGACATTACGCGCTCTGAATGCGACGTGTTGGCGATTTCATCGCCTCACACTAGACCGGCTATATCGAAGATTCCCAGGTTGCGCCCCGGAGCAATTCCTGCGTACCATAACGCTGTCTCATTCAGCCAACTGTCATGAACTCACAAACTATGTCAAAGAGGTGGTGTGGTATCAGAATTACTGGAGCCGACCATGCAGACGCCGCTGTCTGCCTTTAGGCGACAGGCATGCCGTTGCCAACAAACTCAGAAGCTCTGGGGCCATCTTGGACACCACGGATATCTCTACCGACCTACCAACCCGCTTCATAGGCTTTGCTTCTGATCACGAAGTACATTGGTGGTACCTGGAGTTCTTTTTGTTCTTCACGCCTAGAGTTGAAAAGATCACTGTACACGATGTATGGCAGTGGGACGACCACTCTTACTGGTTCAAGACTTTGGCTGCCAATCCAGCTCACTTCGGAAATATTCGATCAATCACTCTGCTGGGTCCTCTACGCCTAGAGAGTATTGTACCGCTTCTGACTTTGCCCTCCATACAAACCTTGGAGCTTACTCAGGTCGTCGATATGCGTCGAGAGCCTGGCAGGACTTTCCCCTGGGACGATGCCGGCGAAGCCCACGTTGATCGGTGGCTGGCTAATGGCTCATCTCTCGAATGCTTCATTATAAGAGAATCAGACTTTCACTTCCCTTCGGTAGTGATCACTCTCGAAAAGCTTAACAAACTCAAGACTTTTACCTACGAGCACGTCACCCATGAAATGAAATGGCGTCCTGGGATACCGCCAGCTATTTTCTCATGGATCGGAAATATCGGATGGGGTCCAAATATCTTTCTCGAGAACCTACGTCTACGAGTGGATTCGGTGGTGACGGAAACGGAGCTGTCATCGCTATGTTATCATGTTACCGGGCCTACACTCCCGAGACTCCGTACTTTGGATATCGGTCCTTGCAATATTGAAACATTCAGTCAATCGGAGTCCCCACACCCTGAAGACCTACATCCTATAGCGAGAAAGATTGTCAAAACCTTTCCAGACACTCTCGAATCTCTGCGACTTCAGTGGACTTATGAGCTAGGCCAAGAATCCAAGCTACAATTCCTCATCGGCATCTTGTCACATTTGGTCGAAGCCGCTGCTTCTTCGGCGTCCAGATTGAAACAGATCCATATCACCTGGCCTGCACTGGCAGGCTGGTTTCCCCTCCCGGACGAGCTTAAGGTTCTGAAGCGGGTATATGAACGTTCAGGAATGCAATTCGATGTAGTCTACGAAGATATCGAGGGACAGGAGCCGCTGGCTATCAAAGAAGATGTAGAGTCTGATTGGCTCTGGGTACACAAAACAGACGCTTTTGCGGCTCATTGCTTTTAGAAAGTCCAACCCACAACCGCATGAAGCTGGGCAAAATTGTATTCTTGTACGACTGCTGCAGGCGGCTAGGATACTTCTAAGAGCTTTGTGGGGTTTGAGTCGCTTGTATATCGGTGTAATGTTAGCAGATGATTCGCCATTATTGTCAACACGTGCTTGACCGGTCTAACTGCCGCTAAGGATTAGCGTCCCAACGCGGGGAAGCTCGTGTGCTATGCCACCATATCTAAAGACCACCTTACTTTTAAATTTGAGTGAAATACCTCTTGCATGATGCATCTCAAGTCTAAGCCGCTTGTATGACCCATCTGCGGCAGTGTCGTTCGCGCATGCTACCCTCCAGCCACCATGTCGATCACTGTACCATCTTTGTGTCCCTTCGATGCTCTGCCCAACGAGTTGGTTATGAGTATCATCGAGCGCATTCCAAATGAGAACGCTAAGGACATATGTCACCTTAGTCTGAGCAGCCGGCGGATGTATACGCTTTCGCTCGATCATTTATACGGAAACCTTTTCGTACGACGTCCTTGGCCACTACTACGTACGCTATGTGCAAATCCAGAGCTTGGAAATCGAGTCCGAAACCTCACATGGAAGCACGGTTTCGACGATCATGACGATACTGAGGAGAACCGAGCTGTTTTCCTTATATGCATTAGGATTATGGGGCTACTAGAGAAGGACAGATTAATGTCTAATGCTACTGGCACACGACGCGATGACGAATTTCTCGAAATACTTCTCATGTTCACCCCGAATGTCGATACACTTGTCGTCGCAGACAAAGCCTTCTGGCCAGATGACAAATACTGGTTCACGACTATAGCGAACCATTCGGATCGTTTCATACACCTAAGGAGCATCAACATACACGGTCCGCTGTCGTTAGAAGCCATTGCATACATTTTCCTCCTTCCTTCACTCCACGATTTTACCGCTTCGGACTTAGTGCTCCTCGATCAGAACAACAAACGCCCGGCTTGGGACCAAGACATTCCGATTCAGACTGTGCTAGATCCCGCATCTTCTCAAGTCCAGGAAATCACGCTGAAACGATCCGTTGTGGAGGTGCCGACGCTGAGATACTTCACCGAAGCTTGCAGGAATTTGAAGAGTTTCTCCTACGAACAAGACATCAATAATGGTAATAGCAGGACTGTACGAACTCTGTGTAAGGCATACGCTAACTTCGCATCTTCTCCTTGGCAGATCAACGCGGCATATACTCTCCAAGCCTCTTGACCAAGTTTAGCGAGCTTGCGGGAGCGTTCATACACAATCGCGCCACGATTGAGCGTCTCTCCATCCGGGGCGACCAACAAATGCTTTGTCAGGGGCACGTGCTGCAGATAGCACGCCTGGCTTCGAATATGAGAAGTCTTCGCTCGTTGGATATGGGCTTGATAACACACGACGACGAGCCGATTAATTGTACTTCCGATTTCGTTGCGAAACTAGTCCATCATCTTCCACCGTCACTGGAAGAGGTGAGCTTTGAGATTGACTGGCAAGAACACTGGGGTTCGAAGGGGTGGGAGGGCCCGACAGAGATGCTGCGCCATCTCGCTGAGATGGCTTCTCCGAAGCTGTCTCTGAAGAGAGTTGCTGTAGTAGACTGGCCACCTTTCTTGGGTCACTTTCCACCAGATTTTGCGAAGCTACACCAGTGCTTTGCCGAGCGCAACATAGACTTCGCATCGATTCCCGCTCATATTGAAGGACCGGATCCTCTGCAATTGCTGGACTACGTAGAGCCAGGGTGGGTGTTTGTGCAGGTAGCTGATGCGGAGTACGCGTAATCTAAGTTGTGTCCAGAACGCCGCGAAAACAAAGGCGTTTTAGCTGAATCTTCATGTCCTGGTCGTGATTTCTGGTGATTGACGCGTGAAATCCGTTTGCAGGGTTGGTGGGTGGTGAAGGGCTGAACGCGCTGGTGAGGGATTAGCGTGTTGGGCGCCCGATGACTCGCGTGTATGTAAGGCTGTGATGTACGTCATGTTCAACCTGCAACGCGCCCCTCCGAATCTTCTGCTCACGATCGCATACCACCTACCACACCTGACCAACACTCTCGACAATTTACGATGGCCCAAAAAGGAGACCATCTATTGCAGCGCCCTCTCTATGGTAAGATACCTGCTCCCCCAGTGCACACGGAACTAACATTCGCAGTGTTTGATCTTCCCGAAGAGCTATTAGCCACACTCACACTCAAGGACCAGCCTGAGCAGCCGTTAGAAGAGATACCGATCCCAACACCTGTGGCAGCGAACGAATCTCCCGATACCGCCGAAGACGAGAGCAGCAGCCCGGCCAAGGCCACGTCGTGCAACCTCTGTGGGCTCAGCTTCGCATCCCTTGCAGACCAGCGCGCTCATGTCCGATCCGACCTCCATGGATACAACCTGAAGCAAAAGATAAAAGGCGCAAAGCCTGTAGGCGAGGCCGAGTTCGAGAAGCTCATCGGAGATCTGGACGAGAGCATATCAGGGTCTGAGTCATCGGAATCCGACGACGATGAAGATGAAGAAGGGGCGAAGACAAAGGACTCGACATTAAGCGCACTCTTGAAGAAGCAGGCCAAGATTTCGGATCCGGAATTCGAGGATTTTGCCTCAAGGAAGAAGCAGAGAGGTTCCGGCAAGCCTCCGCTAATATGGTTCTCGTCACCCTCGATACCCGAAAATATGTCGCTGGGCGTCTATCGCGCGATCTTCTCGAATGCGGAGCAGGAGGACGAGTCACATATCCTGGACACTATACGCGCAAAGCAGCTATCCCCAAAGCAGCCTCCCAAATTCAAGGCGAATGAGGGTGGTGTCCCACTACCAGGCACATACATTGGGCCGCATTTTTTTCTCTGTATGATAGGCGGTGGTCATTTCGCTGCAATGATAGTGGCGCTGGCACCAAAGACAGGGAAGAACCACACAGGATTCGATGAGCGTTCGGCAACTGTAATTGCGCATAAGACCTTCCACAGATACACTACACGACGGAAACAGGGAGGCTCGCAATCAGCGAACGATAACGCAAAAGGCAACGCACACTCGGCCGGTTCATCAATTCGTCGCTATAATGAGACCGCACTCATCGCCGAAGTCCGCGAGCTACTCTCTAGCTGGAAAAGTTTGATCGATACTGCAGAATTGATCTTTGTTCGCGCGACCGGCGCGACGAACCGGAGAACTCTGTTTGGTCCGTATGAAGGACAGATTCTCCGTCACAATGACCCACGCAACCGAGGCTTTCCCTTCAGTACACGGCGAGCGACTCAGAAAGAGCTGATGCGTGCATTTGTAGAGCTTACTCGAGTAAAGCAGAGTACTATTGATGAAGCAGCGCTTGCTGCTCTTAATAATCCTCAGAAGGAAGCTGCGGCTACCGCACCCGCTCCAGCAAAACCTAAGCCCAAGAAGCTGACGAAGGAAGAAGAGGCTGCGACATTACACACGTCCCAAGTTATACCGATGATCAAGCGTTCGAAAGTTCCTGCGCTTCTCAACTACCTCAAGACGAATGAAGTTTCACCAAACTTCCAGTTTCTCCCGACCAACCATCACACACCGACACCACTACATCTTGCTGCATCCCTGAATTCTGCTCCTATCATCCTCGCGCTCATCACGAAGGCCGGGGCCGATCCGACTGTGATGAACGATGAAGCGCGAACTCCTTTCACGCTGACTGGTGACCGTGCAGCTCGTGACGCATTTCGCGTCGCACGCTCAGAGCTCGGAGAGTCTGCCTGGGATTGGGAGAAGGCCGGTATACCTGCAGCCATCACCAAAGCCGAGGCCGACAAGCGAGACGCTCAAGAGAAGACCGAGAAGGCTGCTGAGAGTAAGGCTGAAGCTGATCGACGGAAGGCTGAGACCGAACGTGTGCGGAAAGAGAGTGAGGCCGAGGAAATCAGGAAAAAGGAGCAGAGGTTGGGCAAGGGCAAGTCGTTGGGTGCACTACCTGTCAAGACTGGAGCAGACTTGAGAGAGGAAGAGATGAGGGGGCTAACGCCCGAAGCAAGAGCTAGGATGGAAAGAGAACGGCGTGCTAGGGCTGCTGAAGAAAGACTGAAGCGGATGCAACGTTGAGATCGTTTCCAACAATGTCACCTGATCTTATGCCATCCAATGTCAGCACGAGAATAGTAGCATTTGACTGGGGAGAATCACGCGTAGAAGGCGTCCAAAGGGCTTCAGTAATGCGAAAAGGATACCCCACATGTGAGAGCGAGGAAGAAGGAAGACGTTCAACAAGGGTATTTTAATGAATAGCCTGGAAACAGCGGACCGTGCGGAGTGACAGAAGGGGGCAAATGATATCATGAGCAGTAATGAAGGGAAACGAGAGACTCATGGCCCGAACACATGACGCTATCAGGGCCCATGGACTATTTCAGTCTTGATATGTGTAGTTCTTCGGTAGCTGTAACAACACCTGCACCTGTACCCATCACCCATTCTTCACTATGTCAACCAGCCCTCAAGCCCTCCCTGGCGCACCAACGCCCCTCTACCTAGCCATACGCGTTATAACCGATGCAGCTTATCAGCCTGTAATCAATCTATGCGCTATCACCTACGCCGACGAGCCATCAGGATGGGAACGAGAAGATGACACCCAGCCGGAACCGCTCTTTGACCAAAACGGCAACCAAATGCAAAGACATAAGTGGATCTACGCCTCTGCTCTTTTCGCGCTAGCCCCCTACACTCGCCATATGAAGATCACCGTACGCTGCTGGGACGACCCCGACTCAGATATACGACTAAATATCATCGCAGCTGATGAGCACAAGCACCTGACCGAAAGAATTGTGCAAGAGGACATCGACCACTTCATTGACACGGAAATACACAAACCAGACGGCCAAAAGCCGCGCCTGGTACATGAGATGACCGGCGTGGCCTTCCGTGCAGCAATCCTAGATCCAGTGACTGGACGGAGGTTCGCTTGGTCTTTACTGGAGTTGAGTACGTCTAACCACAGCGCTCACCCGGTGGGTAGGCGCACTCTGCAGGAAGAACAGGAGCTGGAGAGAGAGAGGCTACAGGACGTGGAGGAGGAGGAGTTCGGGCGTGTGGAGGAAGGCAAGAAGGAGAGACTGGAACTTCATGGCGGGTTGGACTTGGTTGAGGTAGATATGGGGGTGAAAGACGAGGAGGTGGAAATTAAAGCAGAACCAAGGGTCAAGGCTGAGAAAGTAAAGATGGAAGCGAAGATGAAGGAAGTCAAGAAGGAGAAACCAGAGTAGGTGACGGGCGCGAGAGGAAGCCAGGATAACATGGTATCGAGATCGAAGTCTATGAGCGAGTGGTCTCAGACCTCGGGATGCTCATGCAAGAGCCAATTAACCTGCATGTATAAGTTTTACAAAATTACAATGTTGTCCAAATCACCATGTCCTACGCCGTCTACCTAAGATCTAGCGCTTCGATCTTAATGCCCAATGACGTCATCGCTCTTTGCAAACTTCCTTCCCAAACTCCATCTCGTACCACAACAGCTGCCACCACCAATCGCACCCCGCCCCAAAATGTCTTCCACAGACGTCCACGAACAGGAAATAGACGCGCGCTCCCGCTCCGCACTCGCCTCAACACGGCGCAATCTGCGTTACCTCTACGACCCCAAGACCGCGCCCAACGCCGTATCCTCACGCCGCACCCGCGCACTGCTCCGCGTCCTCCGCTCCAGCGTGATATTCGCGTTCTGGAAACTCGTTCGATACGCGAAATACGTTGCGATCGGATCACTGGTTGCGACGATAGGTGCTGGAGCTTTCGGCACAGTGGTTAGTGGGGCGGGGTTCGTGTTGGCGCCGACGGGCATTGCGGGCACGATTTTCGCGGCGACGGTTTGGGGTATTGGGAGGTTTGCTGTTAAGAAGGTTAAGAAGAGGTGGGGTGTCGGACAGGAATCGGAGGATGAGGAGGAAGAGACGTGGCAGGATAGGAGGTATGCGGCGCAAAGGGTGGATTTTGGAGCGGAGGCTATGCCTTGGTGAGGAAGATGGTTGACTTCGTGCGAAAAGGAAGGGTGTCGCGATGGACTTGCGAAAGTAAAGACAAGAAAAAAGAGAGCGCAAGGCATTGGCCTTGAATTACTAGGCCTGAGCACGAGGTTTCTCAACACCCCGGGTCCTGACAACGACTCCGACCTCCCGCCCAAATAACACTTTCCGATTTCCTACGTCTCTGATTTTGCTACCAAGGATACCACAAGCTCGCTTCGTCATCAGTATCGACGCCATCGCTACAAAAGACCCTGCATCCCGGGCTCCTTTCGACCTCCATGGACCTTGACCCGCATCATGAATATCGCTAGCACAACTCATCCATCGCGCTATAGCGGCGCACGATCCTCACAGATGACGGCCAAATACAGCATTCCCAACGCATACATCTTCGCCCTCGAAACGATTGCGTCCTTGGTGTAAACACGTTTATCTCATACAGCACCTTCTCGACCTTGCTTGCTACGACTGACGATTCGTCATAGCAGAAGCTGCGTGGAAAGGGGAGCAGTGCGTCAAGACTAGATTGAACAAGAGAAACACTTGCTTGTAAAGTCTCGAGACGGCCACTGGTGAATTACAGGAGGGCGAGGTGGGTGTATGGAATGAGGCGGGGTGGGGCCGACGAGCCTGGGAGGGTCAAGAACAGGGTGGTTGGTGCAAAGGCGGGGCAGCGGGTGCAGGAGCATGGCGATGGTGATATGGAGGCTACATGAGCATCTTAAATCAAGCGCATGCCAGACTAGAACCCGACTATCAAGTGCATAGGATGTGGTGTGATCAAGATTTGGTATCATTCCGGAACGGTACATAAAACTAATTTGACAACATCGCTCTAAAACAAGTAAGATAGCTTGGTGCGAAACCAGCCTGTGTGGAACGCCACAATATGCAACCCATGTCCTTCTCCTTCTAATGGCCGTGTGAGTGTGCGTGTCCTATTTGCGTGATAAGCGGGAGTAGCATGCCAATCATGACGATACTTATGTCGCCCTTGGACATGTTGCTGTTACCGGGATATGCGTCCATGTAACCGTTCGCGGTCGGGTCTTCGTGCGGGTGTTGAGAGGCTGTGGCTTCAGACATGGAGTGCATGGCGACATACCTGCGTCAGGTTAGTAAATCAGGAAGCGGTAGAGCCGGGATTAGTGGACTTGCAAGAATGTTCCACCAGAGAAGCACAATACCCAGCCAGTCGCCCATGTTAAGCCTTCATCACCACCTAGGTGGTTGCGTCCGAACAAGTGTACGATGGTCCAAGTAGCCAAAGCGCCTGCTGGCGCTGCTAAACTGAAGAAAGCGAGATGTGTCCGCGCCTTTCGTTTTGAAAGCCCTTGTTTGAGAAGAACAGAAGTGAGACCAAATGCTGCAGGGGCCTTGTGCAGCATGATCGCGAAGAAGATGACGAGCGACAGAGATGTGGACTCGGCTGTGGAGGAGGCACCTAGCGCGATTCCGTCGGCGCATGCGTGAACAATGAGACCGATTGTGGCTGCTGGTGTCTTTTTTGTAGGTGGGGGAGGCAGACCAGGCGTTGCGAGAGGCGTCACTGCAGCGCTCTGCATGCCCATGCCGTTGAGACTCAATGAAGATGAGTTGTGCGGCCCACGTGCCAGGTTCGATAACGAAATGTGCATTGGCTGGTACTTTGGTTTCGCGGAAGCCAGGGCTTCTGGCAGATGTTCGACCAGGAACATGAGAATGTAACCTAGTATCAGTGCAACGCCGATGTATGCATGTGGGCTGGGCCCGTCCTCGTGGCCAGCTTCAGCATGCCCGTGGGCTGGCTCGTCGTCTTCCGGTGCGTGCACGCGAGTGTGTCCCTCTTTGTGGCCTTCTGTCGAGTCGTCGTCTCCACCTTTTTGCGGGTGGGCATCCTCCGCAGGCTTCTCCTTCTCCTTGCTGTCCTTGATCTTCTTCAACTGCATATCGATGGCAGCTTTGTCGCTAGTCATGTCGACGGCGCCCGGCGCCTTGACCGCTCCTCCAGTGAGCGAGTTCGTGGCGACATCATCTGCTCTCTTCCAAGTCGGGAACTTGGGTGGGTGAGGTATCTCTTTTTGCAGGCTCACGACCGAGGGGATGGTAGGTTGAACACTCCGCGCACTGTGCGCATGCGCCTTGCTTCCAGCGCTGTACATGGTCTCGATGCCTTCGGGTATGATAACAATCAGAGAGGTGCCTACTAGCACTCCAGTGCCGAGGAGAGTGATGATGCGCAATTGTCGGGTGGAGAGGTTAAAGGAGAGCGGGAGGATGCCGGCCAGGAAGGAGCTGTGCATGTTAGAATTCGCTCCTGTACATTGTAGAGACCAGAGACGCACGCAATACCCATAACCGTGCTCAAGGCGAGCAGCATAAACAGGCCGTCCCACATGATTGCAGCGTGTGTAGAGTCGTCCCCTAAGCGGATTTACGAAGAAAAGATGCGCCCGGTACACAGAAAAGGGAAAAGGGTGGTAAGACGTTCAATCGACGCTGTCCATGCCGCGAGGGGTAGGCCGTCGCAGGATAGTCGGGGTGGTGGTGGTGTTGGTGGTGAGGGCTGGGCTGTTGTGAGGCTGATGTGGACAAGTTGGTCGTATAGCGCAACTTTCTTGAGGCTTGGGAGCAGGGGCGGGAGCGACGACGTAGGGCTGCGCTAAAACGCGTCTCCCGTCGCGCTAGCTGCTCCCTTCACTTTGCGCGCTGCTCGTCCATCATCTAGTTGTTACACGCGACTGCCACCGCCCCACCCACGTCGCGAAGATACTCGGCGTCAGTCAAGCGCACATTCCATATTACACGCTATTGCACAAACGCCGTCGTCATGGAGCTCGATCTGGATGATTGTAAGTTGCGCCATGGGAGCTGCGCGAAGGTGTAGCAAGAGCAGCGTCGGCGCATACGTTGCTAACATCGTGTAGGGGTCACCAACTCAAATGAGTGCTTCCACATCAACCTCTACCGCACCTCCAACGCCGACGGCCCCGAACGTATCTACGACGAATCCTTCCACCCTAGCTACACATACACCGTCATCGAAGAGAACGAGACCATCGCGGGGTACAAGAACCCCAGTATCGAACTCGACTTCCGCGCAAACGACCTCAAGCCGAATCTGAAGATCTCATTCGACCAGGAACTCGACCTCAAGAAGATCTCCCCAGACCTGAATCAGATCGATTTATCACCAGAGCTGTTTCGCGAGTTCCTCCCCGAGTCGGTCGACGATGCTGCCGGTGCTGCGTCTTCAGACTGGAAACCACCGGGTGAATGTATGAAGACCTTCAGCCTATACGGCAAACAGTACGAGATATGGAAGGCCTCCATGACGGATCCCGATGCTAGGCGCATCTGGTTGAATATGAGAATCCTGACACTGCTGTTCATCGAGGGCGCGACAATAGACGGTTTGGATGACGAAGAGACGCTCGACCGATGGACGCTATACCTCGTATACGACGTGACGCCGTTGTCAGATTCACACCTTTCTCCTTACACATTCGCCGGCTTCTCCACGTCATATCGCGCCTGGGTCTTTCCTACGTTCGAGATCGCTCGTGCCACAAAGCAACTGCCATCACCCGCCGATAGCAACGACGGCACTGTGGGCAAATATACGCCACCTCGTTTGACGCAAGACCCCGAGACGTTCCTCTTCACCAATAAGCTCGACCTCCTCGAGACGCCATCAAGGGAGCGCATCTCCCAGTTTCTCATTATCCCCCCATACCAAGGTCAATCGCTCGGAAGCCGCTTGTACGACACCATCTTCCAGGAGTTAGCGAGCAAGCCCTTCATCTTCGAGATACCAGTCGAAGATCCGAGCGAAGCTTTCGATGCCATGCGGGATTACAGCGACATCACCTATCTTCGTACATTGCCCGCCTTCCAGGAACTGTCAATTGCTTCCAATCTGTCTCCTGAATCCCTAAGGAAGGACTCACCAATTCCGCGGGACCAGATCCTTGGCAACGGTAAAGACCTTGAAGCACTTCGGGTGGAAACCAAGATTGTGAGCAGACAATTTTACAGGATGATCGAGCTCCACTTGTTGTCGACCATCCCACCAAACAATCGAAACCGGGCGCGAATCACAAGGAAAGCAAAGTCTAGCAACGAAAACGATCGGAGATACTACTTCTGGCGGTTGGCGCTGAAGCACCGTATATACTGCCAGAACGCGGATGCGCTGGATCAGATGGAAGATGTCGCTGAACGTGTAGAGAAGCTGGAGTCTGCAGTCGACTCACAGCAGGAGGAGTTTGAAGAGCGTCTTGAAGGGCTGGAGAAGCGCCAGAGTCTCGTGGCCGACGAAGCGTCCATGCCCGCAGTCGGCGCGAGAAGCAAGCGGAAGAGGGCGGTTGTCGTTGATGACGACGAGGATGACGAGTGGGAAGACATGGATGAAGTATCAGTGGCCAGCTCAAAGAGGATGCGGTCGTGAAGGTTATAGCTCTGCTTGTTAGGGTGTTTGAGTAAGCGCAGGAGCGATCGGGCATGACCAGCGCGTCTCCATTGTAGGCTGCCCTGAAGCCCTGTCCAAAGGTCTGGTTCATGATCATAGTTTAGGTAGTATACCCAATAGCACGTCCATTCTCACTAGCCGGCGATTGCAACCTAATCTCCGCGCGGGGCAGAGCTACCCCACGCCCAAATTTTGGAATCCAAACCTTGAGCTGCATCGCACCGACGCAGCGCGGTGATATCCCTACTAAATACTCGCGTTGAGTTTTTGATTCGCCCAAATATAGGATGCCAGACCGCCAATACAACCTCACCGTCCTGATCTCAGGCAACGGGTCAAACCTCCAAGCCCTCATCGATGCATGCGCATCCGGCGCTCTACCCAACACGCGCATAACCCACGTTATATCCAAGTACTTCCCTGGACTTCAGGCTTATTGTACAATTAAACTAACAATTCATACCAGCCGCATAAAAGCCTACGGTCTCGAACGCGCCGCCAAAGCCTCAATCCCAACAACCTACCACAACCTCAAGTCCTACAAAGACAAGCATCCCAACGCGCTCGACACCGCCCGCCAAGAATACGATGCGGAACTAGCCAAAATCATCCTCGAAGGCCAACACCCGCGTCCCGATCTCATTGTCTGCGCAGGCTGGATGCACATCGTCACCCCGTCCTTCCTCTCGCCCATCGCGGCCGCCGGCATCAAGATAATAAACCTACACCCGGCTCTACCGGGCGAGTTCGCGGGCGCGCATGCGATTGATCGCGCGTGGAAGGCGGGTCAAGAGGAAGGGCTGAAGCGGACGGGCGTGATGATACATGAGGTTATTGCCGAGGTGGATGCTGGGGATGCGATTGTTACGCAGGAGGTGGAGTTGAGGGAAGGAGAGAGTCTGGATGCGTTGGAGGAGAGGATTCATGCGGTTGAGCATGGGTTGATTGTTGAGGGGGCTAGGAGGGTGCTTGAGGGGTTGGGTAAGAAGTGAGGGGGGGAAGAAAGGGACGGTGGGTAGGGGGGAGGAGAGATAGGATGATATGATACCCAGAATGAATGATGTAAATACATGTTTGTATGTTTTTGGCACGCCTGGTAGCGACTGTCGGGTGGGTGGGTTGCCAATTTAAGTTGAAGCATCGTCGTGATGCTTTACCAAGACTATGAGGGACATGATGCAAATACAGCAAAGAGCTACTATCTTTTCAATAGTATTGCAAGAATCATACCGTTATCTCAAGTAGTCAAATACAAATGTTGCAAGAGCTCATTAGCTCTAAACCAACCTCAAGACAGAAATAGCAAAGAATGAATTTATTGACAAAGAGACAGATGTTTCGTATAGTCCAACTGGATTCGAGACAGTCTAGTCTCCTCCAAACGCTTTCTCGAAATCGCTATGCTGTCTTCTTCAACTTCCTCTATGCCTCTCGTCGCACACAGCAAGATGTAGCCTCTCTATCCTCCAACATGATATAATGCGAAAGACAAATAACCGAAAACATGTAGCAGCGATTGTCAGCGACCTTGCTGCATGCTGACCATAATGCTTATACGTATGAATCTCGCCACCAAAGTACGTCTCAGACGAACTCAGACCATACCTCTTACTTACATGCTTCTTTCTTCCTATCTTATTTTGACGAAGTGGACGACTGATAGAGGCTGGATGAGGTACGACGACGAAGGTTGGTGATGTGTATCGTGACTCTAGAAGGAGTGGTGATGGGTGATGCAATGAACAATAGGGCGAAAGTGAGTTTGATGGTCAGTATCAGAGCGGTATAGTGGAGCGCACGGGAGAGAGAGCAGATGTAGTATTCGTCCGTAGAGATAACGTCCATTCTACAGATTCAGATCGTATGAAATAACCGACGATGTATCCAAAGTAGGTTTCGTGTCGTACTGTTCGATCGCGAGAAGTACGCTTTACACGATATGCACGCCGTGAGACCTTGTCGTGTTATACCACTGCATACGTATCGAGATGCTACGGTGTGCACGTTGAGGTTTAATCATCCTTCTTAAGGTAGTTGACCAAGTCAACCATTTCGGCCTGCGACATGGCTGAGCTCATAGCTTTGTATGCCTCGTATAAGATCCAGAGTGGAAAGACGACCCACAGACCGTTGAAGAAAGCGAGGTAAAGCCAGCTGATGCGTGTTAGTCAGAGCTCAGTTCTGCTCGACACTGAACGTAGGGGAGAACCTGAATGAACGGAAGAAAGATAATACAGCCGGCTTGTTGAGGCATACTGGTGGCGTGGTTCGTGCGGATATCGCGTTGTGGTCGAGAGATGAGAAGTGGGTCCGCGGGAGACGGCGCATCCGCCCGACAGCGCATATGCAGGACCAGCACATCACCTCCGTACGCCAGGAACAAGACGTGAACGCATGTGAAAGCCCATATTTTGTGTGCAGAGTCGAGGAAGGGTTACACAAGGAAGATGAAGCGGACGTTCGCAGCCATGTAGCGGACCAGACATGCGAGCCAGGCCTCATCCAACTGTCGAAGAAAACATAGTCGTGTTGACTGAGAAAGACAACATGAATCTGAAACATCACTTACAGGTACATCCAGTTGCTGGTGTCGAGATTGGGGCTTCCGGTCAGCCACTCAGGCGCGAAAGTCATCCAGCCTAATGTAGCGGTGAACCACGTGTCAGCCACATACTCGCAACAACGCAGTGTTGTTTCGTCTCAACAATCCTCGGGCCGGGCCCACATCTCGCCTCACCAATTATGATGGCTTCCACAATTTGCACATGCTCTGTATCCACAGGAACGTGGTAATGAAAGTGTTGTGACTCACCTCCGTATATCTCCCCTGTGGCCAGGACTATCATCCAAAACCACTTCCTCAACGCACCCTTCTTCTCGTCTTTGGTGAGGAGATAGCATATCCAGCATGCCAAAGGTCCAGCCAC